TGAAAGCTCCATCCCATTTTAGATTATTATCTACTGAACCTTGGGTCGTGAACCAGAAAAGAATTATGAATCAGGATTGCCATAACATTAATTTTTGTTTCAAAACAGACTATTACCTCTCTTTCTTATTATAAGAGTCTGTTTAAGTTTTAATTTGATTCTAAATATTAGACCTCAATTTATTTTGTCTTTTATGTTTATTTATTTTTTTCCAAAATAATCCTTGTAGTTGTTACATATGTTAAATGTTTTATTAAATAGTAATTTTAGCTAATATACATGATTAACAATAATATTTTAAAAAAAAATAACACATATTTATGACAAATAACTAATTTAATTAATTTTTTTTAATCTTTTTAAATTATTCAACTGTGTTTCATATTAAAGACGAGTCTATTATTTCTCGATATTGAAAAGAAAAGCCAAACTACAATTGGCGGCGCCACTTTTTGGCTCTTATTTGCCAAACTGGCCTGTTGCCTTGTTTTCCTAGAGGCTATTATTATTTATTAACTCCATAATACTGTATTTTTCTAAGGTGAAGGCCGATACTATATTATATATGGGAAAGTGCAGGTTGAATTTTATAAATTAAAAGTTAGAAAGGGAAAAAAAGATGTGAATTATATCTCTCTGGTATGAATTAAATTAAGGTAAATACGAATAAGTCTTTGTTTTTTTCATCTCTTGATACTAAATTTTTACTGAAGTGTATTTTGGGGGAAAATGAATCAGAGGAAGTTGTATTGAACAAATGTGATGACAATTTGCTGACATAAAACCCTAATTTTTAGAGTAATTGCCTAAAATTAGGCAAATGGATGGAAGATTAGGAGGAGGTCAAAGTAAGATAATAAAGAGGAAAGAGTGGTCAACCTGGTTTTATCCCCCGGGGCAAAGCGGCCCCACCGTCCAAGCCTGCCAAACACCATTAAAATTAAAAGTCAAAACACACACGCGCACTCTCTCTCTCTCCCTCTCTCAACCTGACGTGCCCACAGGGGAATGATGGGATACTCCCTCTCTTGTGATTGGATGAAACCAAACTGTGGTTTGGAAAAGTGATTCTGGAGAATAGATTCTGGAAAAAATAAATTCTGGAAAGAATAAATATTATGAAAAGTGATTTTGAGAAGTGAGAGTGTTTGGATAGTTGTTATCAGAAGCATTTTTTATATATACAAATTACTAAAAAAAAAGACATAAGGTAATATGATAATTACAGAAAAAATAGATTTTATGATATATTTTAATTTGAAGGAATAAAATTGTTAATAATATATTTTTTATTAACATAATTAATAATACATAAGATAATATAATTAATAATTAATTAATATGTATATATATTTTTAAAATATAAGATTAAATATGTTTATAAAAAAATATGTTTATAAAAAAAATAACAAGATACATATCCTATAAGCTCTCACACTCTCTTTTTTTTCTCTAAAAGCAAAAAATTTCTGTTTTTTTCAAAACCATGGTTTTAGAGCCAAAACTACGGTTTGCCCAAAACCAGTGGGTGTTTGGGTGACTTATCACCCAAACCATGATTTGGAGTGTCACCCAAACGGGTCTGAATCGCAGATGGAGAGCCGAAAGGGATGATTTTAGAAAAGAAGGGCAGTTGACCATTTCTTTTTATGTTTGTAGTAGGCGGGAAAATAACTACCGAGTTATAGGTTAGTAACTTTAAAATGGAAATAGTAGTAACTTTTTTACTTTCGCCGACTTTTGATTTTTTTTTTTATTTAAGCATTTTAATAGGCAGGTCTCCTCACGGGTCACTGAGACTTAATTCTAAATGTCATGAGATTTTATCAAGTAAGGTCACTAACACAATCTCTAACTATAAAGGTCATGTTAGGACCTCGATATCGTGATCTCAAAGCTAAACTCAAATCACGTGAGTAAGGAGATTATTCCTCATAGATCATAATCAAATTCTTTCTAATACACATATCCTCTATGTGAGGTAAGTGCAGAGGATACTCAAATATCTAGAGATATAGATAAAATATTATAGAATCAAGCTTTACATAGAAGACACACTTGTATTATTATGCCTCAACTCAACTTATATAACATCTCATCTGTGTCTCCAAAAATTCAAATATGCTCTATACTTCCTCGTATGGAGGACCATGTGCACCAGAAAGAATCTGATCATAATCTATGAGGAGTAATCTCCCTACTCAAATGATTTAAGTTTAATTCTGATGTTATGAAGTTGAGGTTCTAATGTAGCCTTTGTAGTTAGAGATTGTAATGGTGACCTTACTTGGTAAGATCACATGGCATCTAGAACCAAGTTTTAGTGATTATGTTAAGGAGACACGTCTCGAACTAAATAAATTTTTGTCAAGCTAATTTTTTTCCATAACAGTCTTTGAAAACATAAATGATATTAATATAACTTCAGTTTGCAAAAATCATTGAAATAAAATTTATTTTGTCAATATTAATCCAAGCAAGTGCCTGGTTTAAGTAAACCAATTGAATTTATATTTTCTATTATTTATTTTCTCATTTAAGAGTCCATCTTCAATGTGATAATTACTAATTTTCTTAAGGTTAACGATTTTAAAAGGACAATAAACAAGAAGGGTAATCTTTGTCCCGGTTGATTTAAAAATATTGTTGGGATATTGTATCACGCGGCATATTCTATTATCTCTCCTTTTTTTTTTATCACAGTAAAAAATTCAATATAACTTCACAGAGCAAATAATAATACTACCATCATTTTTTAATATAATACTCATTTAACTAATTTGATAGATTAAATAAATTATTAAATTAGTTAAGTATAGCATATGTTATATGATCTTTTTAAAACACTTATATATATATATATATATATATCACTAGATTGTATGTTAATTTATAAGTTAGGTAAATTAGTGTGGAAAGAAATAATAAATATAAGTATTTTAAAATAATTTATTAACTTTCTTAATATTTTTAAATTAGTTAATTGAATTTTATATTAGGCATTGGGTAGGATATTACTACTGAAGTATTGAGTCCTTCCTTTTTCTTCTTGTTTTTCTTAATCCAAGTTTTGTTTGGTAGGTTATTTCTTTTCCATTTCGCCCTATTTTTTGTTTCTTTGTGATTCTTTTCTTATTTATAAGCCGATAATTTAATCTGCATAACCACGAGAAGACAGAAAAAAAAAACAGTATACAAAATACATCTTGACGAATGAAATATACAAATTACTACTAAAATCCAATGAGTTGTCAAGTGGCTAAGCCAACACTTCAAAGTTCAAATCAACCACCTCATATCATGCGAGGGGCATTAAGGTGATTTGATTTTCTATTTGATATGTAGTTTTTATTTTCTTTATAACCTAAGAAACCCCGTCATGTATTGTTTGGATTAGAAGAATCTCAAATATTTCGAGACTATATTAATTAATCACGTCTCTTTGCAATCTTTAACTCAATTTTGATAATCCAGTCTTCAAGTGGCGTAAACTTCATTTTGAAGTATAGAGTTTCTTATTTTCTCAAATGACAAAGTCAGTTAATTTTTTTGGTAAAAAAAAAAATGTAAATTGGATGTAAAGAAAGCGCAAGCCAGGAGCATGATTTTTGCCCCAAATTGGGCTAGCTTCAATCCGGGCCATAAAAAACACAATCATGTCAATTGGGCTGGACCTCACTTCAGGTCCACTCTTTTGGAGATTCTCCGGCCCAAAAATTTTGCAGAGATTAGTCATAAGGCTGGCCCAAAATGTTATCCTAATTACTCCTCCGGTTCTAAATATCCTAGTGTATAAAGGTCTTATATTTAAGACTGGAGGAGTAATTTATTATGCAAATGAAGTTTTGACTCTTTTTAATTAATAAGAGGACGAGATCGGATGTCTTGTTCTCCTCTGGGAAAAGAATTTTTATTTAAATAAAGGGATAATTGATCCACAGCTCGTTATAGTTTCAACTAATTTTGAATCAGGTCTTTATAATTTTTTTTTCTTTTTATCAGGTCCTTATACTTTCACCTGTTTTTAATTAGGTCCTTGTATTTATTTTTCTTTTTATCAAGTCGTTATAAGTTCATCTTATTTTTAATTAAATCCCTGAATTTTTTATTCTTTATTTTTTAAATTCTAATAATACTATTATATAAACATAAAATAGTATATATTATTTAATATTATTTTATAAACAATAATATTCTAAAGATATTGAATTATTATAATGATTTTAATTTTTTCAGCAAAAAAATTAATTGTTCTAAAAAAATTTCCTGAATTAATTAATTCTATTACTTTTTTATTACATAATTATTAATTTAATTTAATCATTAATATTTTATATTTCAGTATTAATCTATTTAATTAAGTGTATATTTAATTAATAAATAAAAATTAAAACTACATGGACCTGATTAAAAATTTAGTGAAATTATAAGGACTTAATTAAAAGAAAAATAAATACAAGGACCCAATTAAAAAAAGGTAAAAGTATAAGGACATGATAAAAAGAAAAAAAATTATAGGGATCTGATTCAAAATTCGTTAAAATTATAAGGACTTGCGGATTAATTAACCCTTAAATAAATTATGAAATAACCATTCAAATTTGATCTCCTGCCCTTAATATAAAATAATTGTACTATAAACTACATACCGGAAGTAGTAATATTTGTATTGTTATGCTGCACTTATAAATAGTCCTCGTCACACATGAAAAGTGTTAAACTCAAACTATCCTGACTAGTTCCATTTTTTATGAGTTGAACCACACGAATTGCGGAGTAGTTTGGATTTCACCTATTATTACTGTTTATGGTTTTCTTGACCTTTCAACTTCGGACCGATCTCTAGCGAAGTCAATTTTGAAAATCAAAATTTATCAAAACTTACCGCTATGATATCGACAGTGAGTTAAACTCAAACTCAGAAATCGATGGCCAAAAGCCTCAGAAATCCAAAACGACCTGGGTTGTGTCATTTTATTGTAACAGAGCTGTAACCGAACCAAAAGATTACGGTACAGGTTGAAAAAGCTACTGGAGAGAGGGTTGTTGGCCGAGCAAGAGTTGTCTGAAAATAGCTTCACATAAACCTGGTTCGTGAATCATAAGATGCCCACCATCTTCAACCTCAAAGTACTTGATCCATGGAAGCTTTTCCGCCAGATAGCGTTGCAGTTCATAGGGCACTAACTTATCTTCACGACCCTGCCATAGATACACACCACAACCTTCCTTTTCTGGGAATGGATTCTTCATCTCCATTGGATCGAACTCCCACCTCCCAAAATGCACCATCAGGTCCCTATGCAGCGATTCGAAATCGCCCTGCTGCCTAATCTTATGCTGCAACCCAAACACCAGAAAACCAAAACCTTCATTATATTGTGAAAGATATATAGACCATAAACACGAAGTGATTGAGAAATTAACGAACCTCGTGAGGCATAGGTACATGTGACATTTGCTTTATGGTTTGGACGTCTCGTCTGTTACCCAGAATTGAGTGTCCCTGCATTATAGAACAATAAGGGAAAATCTTTTGGGTCATCCACCAGTAGACCAGGCCAGGAGTATAGTGTGAAATTCTGAGTTTCCATTGATCTCTTTTGAGTTGCTTCTTGAATATCCTGTTCGCCAATTCTGGATCAAAAGATGGCCACCAGAAATTTATCACAGGAACCACCATTGTCACTCCCGCTAGCCTGTATCCAGCAAATTCCTTTCATGTTATCGATGACTCGACCATAGTTAAATTGTTTAACGGACATTAAGGAAGATGATAATGAGAGAGAAATTAAAGCATGCCTGTGTGGTAAATATCGAAGGCAACCCCAGACCGGATGTGTTCCAATGGAGAGACCAATGAGGTAGAATTTTTGACCCAGTTCCAACTGATCAGCCAGTTCTTGGATATCAAAAGCTTCAGTCTTGACGCTGCGTTTTGGGTTTGGATCGCTCTCTCCATACCCAGCTCTGTCATATGTCAGCACGTACAATCCCAACTCGTCCACTACTTCCTGCATGAGAGTGGAAACTCTGAGGCTACATTTGATCAAGCTCTGGTGACTAAAAGACAAAGATTTTAGCTTACTTGAGAAAGTGGCAAATAGATGTCCTTGGAGCTGTTAAAGCCATGAACAAGTATGACTTTGTGTTTGGCAACTTGTTTAGGGACTCCTTTTTCTCTGTAAGCCAAATGTCTGCCATCACTGAGCTTGATTCTCGGCGAGGTCACCGGCGGGCCGTTCGGCGTCCCGCAGATTCTTGGTTCTGGGGGCTTCATCGTCCTTTCATAGTAAGCATGTATTAGAATCGCTACTAACAAGACAGATACTGCAAGCATAAACATATTTTCTGCACTTATGTAAAATCAACCCGTCTAAATCTTGTGATCGATCGTATATAAAATTTCAGCTGAGAAACTCGGCTTCATTGGTTTGATCTTAACGTGTTGACTGGGGATCACGCACTGTTTGGTTGAACAAAATTTTGACTGGTTGTTGATAACTATAATACTTTAATTATTGTCTCTGATAGTGTTAATTCCATTGGAGATATGACATTAACCAGAACCACAAGTTTCATGAGCATTATTAGCAGAAGAAATTACATCAATTACTTGGGAGCTTATATATATCTCAGGACAACAATAATTGATTATTCATTGTAATCCAATTAACTCACCTCCACATACACATATCTAGTGAAATCATGCTTTTTGGTGAGATGTCAAGATCACATTACTTTTTAAAAATTTCTCTCCCTTTTCTCCCAATCGTTGGAAGTGATTAAATTCTTGCAAGACAAAAATTAAAAAAATATTTAGATGGAACCCAAACTATAGTTTTAAAAGTGATTTCACGGTATACAAAATAAATATATGAAGAAATTTACCTAGATTTATAGAAAAGTACTTCTTAAAAGTACTTTTCTTAAATGCCAGACATCCCCTTAAGTTACAATTACATATTAAGACATCGTTATATTATATATATTTATCATCTGTATATGATAAAGATATGGGTTAATATAAACTTTGATCTTTCAAGTTTACCCTCATTTTGATTTTGGTCTCTTAAATTTCAAATCATAGGTTTTGGTTCCTCAAATTTTCTTTCATTCAAAACATTAGTTTCTATAATCCAATAAAAATTTAAACCATTTACCTTTTCAGGGACCAAAACTTATGGATTAAAATTTGATGAACCAAAATCAAAATGAGGACAAATTTAAGAAACCAAAGATTATATTAATCCTAAAAATATTCAATGCATATTTATTGACTAATATAAAATATTTTTAATATACAATTAATAATAATTCTAAGAGAGCATAAAGTTGTATGATTTAAGCTTTTTTTTTTAAAATGATTTTTAACTTAGTTTCTACTTTCTAACATATACTTTTTTTTAATGATTATTGGATTAAATTTTACGATAGTTAACCATCTACTATCTACACACATACCTTTTACCAACACCTGTTATACAAATCCAGCTTGTTTATGGAATAAAAAAAGAATTTTATTTCCTCATGCTCTTCAGAATATCTACATCTCACATGATGCAAAGCATTATTTGAAGCGGCATTTAAGATAGGTAGAAGATTTCCGTGCTCAACATCCTTCTTTCTTAGGAGAGCAGAAGAGCTCTTACAGCAGCATCGCAGTGAATGTTCCTTAAGAACAGAAAGTGGCCTGCTTCTGCAATCTCGTGATACTGAATCCATCCAAGTTTCTGAGATATGTATCGATTCACTGTGTGAGGAACCACCCTATCTTCATACCCTTGCCATATGTGCACTGAACCTTCCTTCTCTGGGAATGGATTCCTGATCTCTATTGGACTAAATTCCCACTTCCCCAGTGCAGTGATCAAATCTCTGTGCAACGATTCATGCTCTCCTTGTTGTGTTATCTTCTCCTGGATAGCGAGCTTACACATGAATCAAATTCTGAGACATATATAAACATGCACAGAGAGAGAGAGAGAGAGAGAGAGAGAGAGGACCTACCTCACCAATACTAGGTTGTTTTGACAAGCTGTTCAACAAGTCCAGATCGTCAGGACTGTAGACAGACATATTCCCAGACAGGAAACTCAGTGAAGGGAACAGTTTTTGGGACATCCACCAATGTAACAACCAAGGGGCGTGATGAGCTACCCTAAATGTCCACCGGTCTCTATGAGGTAACCTCTTGAAGGCTTCTCTCAGTAAATCCTGAGGAAAAGAAGGCCACCAGTAGCTTACAAATGGAACCACCAGCGATGCTCCTGACAACCTGCCAACCAAATTCAGATCATTCATTCACAACCTTAAACTTCAGTTTTGATTTTGTCCATGAAAGCAATTAAGTGTGCAAGAGTCTGGAATAGTGTCATCATGCCTATGAGGTATGTATCTGAGGCAACCCCAAACAATGTAGCCTCCCATTGAGAAGCCCAGGACGTAAAATTTAGCCCCTATTTGCAATTTGTCAGCCAGCTCTTGAATGTCATACGCTTCACTCTTCGCTGTACGAGATGGGTCTGGATCACTCTCTCCATATCCTGCTCGATCGTAGAACAGGAAATATATGCCTAGTTCATCTATGAGTTCCTGTATCAGCAAGCTTTATCTATCAGTTTACTTCTCAGAATGTGATTATGAAAGTGTCGTTTGGCTATAATACAACATGAGTTCATACTTGGGATACAGGCAAGTTCAAGTCTTTGGACGAGGCAAATCCGTGAACCACAATGATCTTGTACCTAGCCTCTTCCTTGGGAACTCCTCCCTCCCGATAGGCCACATGTCTGCCGTCACTGAGTTTCACCCTCGGTGATGTGATCGGGCGACCTCCCGGCGAACCGCAGACTTTAGGACGAGGCGGCCTTAGGGCCTTATAAGTCAACCCTATCAGACCCACCACCACTGCTGCTGCTACTGGATTCACCATTGCTGCAAAAGAACCAGTTCAAATGTGTTGGGAGAGGCAGAAACCTTCAGTGATTAAGTTTACGAGTCATCTCTATTTAAGATCATATTCAAATAACAATCACCAGTTGAGGAACTTGTATAGGTGTATACTGGAGACATAACGGAGTATATCAAATCTGATATCCAACAAAAGCTTGACAACTCAGCAAAGCAAAGCAAAGCAAACAGAGAAAATAACAGAGTGGCGTCTGTTGGCGCCCAGAATTGGGCACCTTATACTGAAAATCGGTTCTAAATGAGGCAACTACGCGAAGTTGGTAAATTTCGCAAATAAAGATGGGCAGTGAGAGTATATGCATCAGCATATATCCCTTGAGAATATTTCTCAAAGAATGAATTTGAACCCAAATACACTGGAGTTTAACTATTAAAAGTTCATCATGAGAATCTCAAAATAAAAAAGCGTAAATCCTGGAGGTTATGTAAGCAGCAAACCTGGAATAAGTAAATTATCAAGGATCGTTCAGAAATGTTATCTGTTGATGCCAGGGCCAGCACGAAAGCGTGAACCCAGAACGAAGTAGTAGAGGGGGATATGAAACCGACGCTTGAGTTTTTGCTCGGAGTGTACCACATTGGCCATAACCATTGAAACGGAATCCCATTATTACCAGCAATAGCGATGGGTCCACTCTGTGATAGGGTTTTTTGCTGAATTAATTTTTCCTCGACTGATTTGATTGAAGGAAGTGACAAAGCACACTTGAGCGACATCTTCTCCGGATCTGCATTGACTGCTTGATGAGCCTCATCACTCTCTAGACCGTCTAGATCTGATCTGGACAGTCTATATTTATTTTTATTTTTACTTTTTAAAAATAATTATTTTAATATGTATAAAATAAAAAATAAAGATAATCTTTTAACTATTTTTTTAAAAAATATAATTTTTATATTTTAAAATAATTATTTAATAATATTAAATCTGAACCGTTCAGATTGCTCATTAGGTAATGAGCATTAAGTGCTCATCACTTGATGAGCACCAAATGGGAACCATCTTCTCCGGATGGGTTCAGTCAGAGTCAGGCGTACTCACTGAAATTTCAAACACAACCATTTTCAATGAATCTGTATGAGTGGAAAACAACACGTTTCTAGTTGTCATTGGCTGCTCTTTTTCATAGAACTGTGGCTAAAGAAGATGATGTCAGATTCAGTGTTGCTCTTAGATTTGTCACGTGGAATCCATAAGAATTAAGAAGCACAGATGACGGAGTGGTGGGGCAGGGAGGGAGAGGCCGGGTGTGGCTGTGAAGAAAGACAGTGAAAGAAGAAAGATATTAGGAGGTGTGGTTGAACATGCATCGCCCAACGGGTCCTCATGCATTGAGCGTGTTTGGATGTTGCAGTAAGAATCAAAGGTGTATGTATCAACCAAAATGAAGGTCCTGGGCTATCAATCAGGCTTCTATAGTTCCATAACTTTGTTGAACTTGTTTTTAAGGTGATGACAAATAACAAACAGGCGTCAGTTTCATAACCGTGCAAAAGTTCTAAACTTGAGCATGCATGTTTTTTTCAGCTTTGATTAGGGTAACATTTGAATCACGTTCATCAAAACGTAGTTTTAATTTTTAATAAGTAACCAAATATGCTCCAAAACAACAAAGATAGAGTCACATCTGGTTGCTGGTATAGAACTGACCATTGCGGAAGCACCAAATTGGCATTGCGCATCCTAATTTTCAAAGTCAACTTTCTCGGCAATGAATGGGCCACCATGGAGATCATTTTCAACTACTTATGACACACAAAGGTCCAAAAACAAGAGTGGCCATACATTCAGGGCTCTTTGAGTTGAATATTTCAGCCCAGGCCCAATATTATGGGACTGGTGCCCAGTACGGTCAGACTGCTTGAATACATATGTTTCAAATGATTATGACACACAAAGGTCCAAAAAAAGAGGGGCCATGTATTCGGGGCTGTCTGAGGAGAAATATTTCAGCCCAGGCCCAATATTACTGGGCTAGGGCCCACACTGGCAGATTGCTGGAATTCACATATTTGGGCCCAATCCCAAAACTGTAGCCCAATGTTAGAGCCCAAATTTATCTACTATTCTTCGTGGGAAAAAAAATTCTAGAATCGGTTATTCAAAAATGAAAAAAATTATAAATTCATGTAAAACAATATATATATGAATTTTATGTATTGACATTTTCATTTTTCGTATATTTTATTGTCACTTTAAAAATAATTTAGTTTTAAAGAATTTAAATTTAAATTCTAAGATTTATAATTTATTCGTCTTTGTTTTTTTTGGTCCAGGATTTATTCGTCCTTTCATTGCACGCCACTTTGAAAAAATTAATTAAAAACTTCTAAAGTAAATGCTTAAATGAGGTTTTCTACCCGCCAAAATTGTCTCCATGATTGCTCTGCGTCTGGACTTGGTCTTTAATGGATATTTAAATATTTTCCCTCATAATTTTAAAACTATTTTCTTCTAAAACATCTGTACTCCGCCGCCCGTCAAAGTCCAAATACAATTATAAAAATTAAGAATATCTGGAAAAGAACATAATTGCTATACATTTAATCCGACCATACATAAACGCGTAAACACAAGGAAGCCGGTGAGAGCCGCAGCTCGGAGTTGGTGTTTCACATTAATGGAACAAGAAAACAAGTTATTCCACTAGTATCGTAATTTAAAGTACATATTTTTCTAAGTTGGTAGTTATAAAAAAGAAATATTAAAGGCAGACAATGATGAAAGACTCGGAAAATACCAAAAACGCGAGACCAATATATTCCGGAACCTCCCTCTACCTTTCACATCCTCTTTTTTTTTTTTTTTTCTAATAATTAGATTAACATATTTCAACGGTTCAGATTTTAATTTTTTATAAACTATTTATTAAAAAAATTTAAAAATATTTAGTGTATTTGCAAACTACTCCCTCCGTTCTGTTTTATAAGATACAATTAACTAAATCACATTATTCAAAAAATTAGTTAAAATTAGTTAGGTGTAATAAATATATAAAGAGTAACATTTTTGCCAACAATACCCTTATTTATGTGGAAGAGAGATAATGCGTGGGAGAGAGAATGAATGGGAATTAAATACAATTATATGAGTAATTAAATAGGGGTAAAATAGAAAATCAACACACAAAATTTGAGACAACCTATAAGTGTCTCTTATAATAAGGAACATGATATACTTTACAATTGTCTCTTATAATAAGGAACAGAGGGAGTATTAGAATTAAATCTTAGGAAAAATTGCAAAAACAGACCTTGGAATTGTAAAAACGCAGATAGGGACCCTCGACAACTTCACTATAGCTTTTGACAATAATAATATGTCATGAAATTGTCAAAATCCAAAATGAAGTTGTCAAGGGTCCCTATCTGCGTTTTTGCAATTTCAAGGTCTTTTTTTGCAATTTTCCCTAAATTTTAACATAGTTTGTAATTTATTATTTATTTATTTTTACAAATTAATATTTTACTAACAATTTTAAAAAGGTTTAAATCTCAACTATTGAAATATTAATCTAAGGGTTAGGGGGAAAAAAAGAAGAAAAGGGAAGAGGAAATGTTACGAACTGAATATGTTCAATAAAGCGTACAAATTAAGAGTGTCTAGAACGCTAAAAAAGAGCCTTTCAACATCTGTATATGAAATTAATGAAATAATAATGACTCAGTAATCAAGTCTCTGGTTGGTATTCTCCCACATTCACTATATGCCCAACGGCTCAAAACTGCCATATATGAGAGGGGTCAAGGTCAATTAGGCAACCATTATCATATACACAGACTTCTACGCCTGCTTGACCAAGTAAACCCCCCCCCCTTTTCTGCGCGAGCACACGCACACAGACAGTTCACAGAAAAAATATAGATATATATATATCTAGAAATTTCATAATGATGATGATAAGAGTCATTAGAGTGCATAATTATGTTAGACCTCCTCACTAATTACTTGTAATCTTGGAATGTCTCGTAAGAAACTATGCATGTCACTAATTTAATCAAATGATCAAAGTCCCTGACCTACCGCCACCATGATATTATCATGTCATATTAAATCCACCAATCCTTCTGACAATTAATTCACCTTTTTAATTTTCCCTTTAACTGCATAATACAAGGAATAGTTTTTAACTCAAACAATTACTTTATTTCATTCTCATTTTTTAAGATACAATATCTTGATATATCGGTACATCACCATGTCATATTCGAACACTGTTCGGTTTATATAAATACAACTCTTCTAAAGAGATATTTTCCCATTCATGCATACTTAAACCAGAAACTCGATCTGTGTTTAGATGATTATAACTCAAGTATAACTTAATTTGAATTAATTGGGATACAATATATCTTTCCAAAACCAGGTGGGGTGTGTGTGTGTGTGTGTATTCATACATCATATATGTATGTATGTATATGTAAAAGTAAGAAGTTGGGGTGTGTATATAATACGTAGCCCGGCGTTTAGGATAGAATAATGGCAGAAAAGGAAATGACCTGGAAGAAGAGTGGCATGGAATTCCAAAACGTAGGGGAGATGGAATGGAATTGAATATGATTTGTGTAGGGTGGGTGTTTTGGTAATGCCAAAGTCCAGGTGAATAAATTTGAAACAGTCTCTGAGCAATGAAATTAAATTCTTTTCTGCGTTTGATGGTTTGTTTGAAAGCGCAAGTAGCTTCATCATTACTGGGAAGAACATCAACTAATGAATCCCTCTTTTTTTCCTTTCCTCCACCAAAGACGTACGACCCAATCCTTCAATTGCGGACTACTGTTTTTCTTTTCTTTTCTTTTCTTTTTTAAAATCAAACCCAAAATAGACTTCCTTCAATTTCAGCTAATTAATATAACTACGTGTTTTACATGTTACCTTTTTTAAATTTTTAAATCTGTTATTAATTATATTCAAGGTCTCCTTATTATATTTTTTTATGCTCGGAAATCATCACATGAATATGAAAAAAATTAAAAATTATAATATTTTAAATAATAACTTTTAATTATCTTCTGAGATATTGATGCATCAACAAATAGCTTAGAATCATATTAAATTAATGCGATTGAAACTCGCTTCACATTATCCAATCAATGTAATGTTCCAGGAGAGGAAAGTGCAAAGACCGGAAACAGACCTACGTTTTAATTCATTATCAGCTAAATAGTATTGAATTCGGAAGAAACTCCATCATATTCTTGGAATTCTATAGAATTTTTAAGCCTCAATTTCAAGCTTGTATATATGTGCGTGTCTATGTCCATTGTAAATGTTTAGAATTCAATATTTTCGGCCAAACAAAGACCAGTATTTATGCATATATCCGTATTATATGACCTTAATAGTGAACTAGGAAAAAATGAAGGCAAAACAATACAATTTAATTACTATTGAAAAATGATAAATGACAAAAGAGAGGAAAGGATAAGTCATATGGAAATCTCTTGATTATCCATCATGGATTTGGTGAATGAGCTCTAGGTAAATATATAGTGAAGTTAAAATGAATAGTAAACTATGATTTACCCTTTTTTACTGCATATTATTATAGAATCTCGTGGTAATTATTTTATTTACTTTAACAAGTGATCTTTAATTAAAAGTGAAGAGAAAATTAAAAAGGTGGATGCATGAATATATATCCAAATCGGGATAACATATAAAATCTTATGTTCTTCACTTCCACATATCAAAGGTTGATAGGAAGCAGAAAAGAAAGCAAATTAAAGCGTCATGTAGTTCTATCATAATCTGCAAAAGCTTGTCTACCACTAACCTCTTATATTCCAAATAAACTAAATTAACCAAAAGGTGACAAATGATTTTAAAAAAGGCATTGTCACGGGGCGATTTCTCTCTGGGACATAGCTTCAAAAAGGTCTCAGCTTAAAACCTACTACTTCTTAATATAATTCTATAGCTACTAGCTACCACCATTATATTGTGTGGTTACTTAGCTAACCCTAGCTACTTTTCACCTTTCCTCTTGTCAAAAACAACTGGAATTTTCTTTTAGCAGACAAAGAGATTCAATTTGATTTCTTCACTTTATTTAGTAGTTAGATTGTCAATATAAAAAAAAGGCCTTCACAATGTTCATCCTCATGAGAAAAGAACAGAGGGATTTTTTATTTATTCCCATCTTTCGATTCGAGCATGCATAATATAACAAAAACGGGTGAGAGATTTTGATTGGTGGGAGCTAATTAATTTAATTTTTGGATTGAGCATCTTAGTCTTTGGAAGTGACACTATATATTAACACGAGTCCAAGTTAGATGAACTCATTAACAAAAGTAAATTAAAACTTAAAACTTTGCTTAAGAAAAATGGAAACCCACCATTTACATCAACTGATCAACATGAAGTGAAATTAATTTTGGCCTAAAAATTAATCTGCACAACATTTTCTTAAACTAATCAGTTCCTTCATACACAATAATTATACATGTTTGTCCGGACAGCAGGTGAAGTACAAATTATATAGAGATATATTGTTTCACATCGCTCAAAGTGTGAAAAGGTTGAAAACGGTGGGAAAGGAAAGCCGGTGATACTGATAAGGAATCATAGGCAGTATCTGTCAGAAACAAGTGAATTGGCCTACCAAGATCGGCTCACAATTATTCTATCAGTGAATGACAAGTTTTAATTTTTATGCATCTAATAAATAACAAGTTTTATAATTAATTAACTTTTGTTAATCAAAATTTTGAAAATTTCTGGTGATGACCGTGCGCGGCGTGATCTGATTTACTATGTTTTCTTTGAAAAATCACCACATTTGTGAGAACGACGTTTTTCTTACGCGTCTGATGGTGTCATGCTCATGTATGGAGTTAGAATTATATGAAAGGAAAATCACTATATACGTATATATATATGGTCAAGTGTATATGTATGAAGAGCATTCATTAGTGTTGGTGTCTGATGAATTGTGAGTCGTTTGTTCCCACAAATTTACATATGACACATCTAAACTCACTGAGCTTTCTTGTGGCGTCCAAAGTCTTCCGCATATGTAGTTTCTGATGAGGATTATTGATACATAATTGACTTTATAAAATTTTCGTTGAAAAAGGTTGCATCCCATTCAAATTATGTGTGATTTTGAGAAGCTGCGGCTAGCTACCCGGTGCATATATAATTTTATATATATATATATATATATATTCCCTTTTGGCATCAAATATGTCCATGACATGGACAAACTGTTATTATTTAATTTCAAAGAAAAAAACAGGAGATTAGAACAAAGAAGTTGGTTTAAAATAATATTTTTAACTTGTTTGTGTTTGAATTATAAATCTTAAACCTCAAGCTGAAGCCATCATACGCATGTACCGACAATTAAGCCTCATTTAATGAAGACAAAGCGACGTGAAGCCATCAATAACAATTATTGAAGACTGTTTTAATTATTGGAATGCCATGGAAGGACCGTGATCTTTATTTGCAAATAACAAATAAATGACTTTATAAAATTTCCCTTACCACCATTAAATGTAGAAAATAGCTAATAGAAGGTTTTAAAGAAAGTTAATAGTGAATTTTTTTGGAGCAAAAAAAGGTTAATTGTGATTTTAGAGAAGGTCACTTATGAAATGGACACATATTCTCATGAACTTATTCGCTATCAGTTGTAAATTTTAGGAAGATCAAAGCCAGTTGTGAATGAATATTTAATTTAGATACAGAGGAGAGGGTCTCTAAATCATATATTTGCAATAAAGACTATTCGTATAATGAGTAATTCACAAGCGACAGTATAGATTTACAATCCATTCATCGCAACTGACATTATTTGAATTCACAATTGATTGTTTTCGAATAACACCTGACAATGCATAAATTCCCGAGACTATCTTTTCTTTTACAACTAACTTTCTATAAATTATAAGTGACTGCTCTTAAATTGACAAATGGTGATGCATAAATTTACAAGATTTCTTATCTATTCATATTTGATTTTTCATTGATTCACAAGTAGTTTTCCTTAATTAAATTCACAACTAATTTTATTTAAATTCATGAGTCACTCTTCATTGGCTATTTTCTACATTTAATTTGGTAATAAGAGCAATTTGAGTCATTTATTTTTTATTACAAACAAAGATCACGGTCCTTCCATATGACATTTCAATAATTAGATATCTTCAATTGTCATTAATGCTTTTACAAAGTCTGCAACTGTCATTTTTCCTTCAATTAATTGTTTCCTTATATTATTGTTGACTTAATTACACGGAAGTTAACCAAAAATACACGGAGCAAACTCTTTTAGATAACATTCTGTCTAGGATCCTTGTTAATTCTTGCGTTCAACATATTTAAATGTCTGATATACATATAATTCTCCTTTTAGGTATTGACCAAATGTGCCGTCTTTGCTTTGATCATCTTGTTTTCATTTGGCATATAATGTCAAATATGTGCGAGCAAATGGGCCCACATATGGGTCAAATTCCATCATATTTTTGTTGAAAGAGAAATGGAATTAATTAAGTAAACCATTAACCCAACACACAACTTATGTACTATATAGCTCGTTCACATTACAGATATATGGATCGTGTGTATACATGCACATGTGTATATATATACACACACACACACACACATATATTCATGTATAGTAACCTCTCAGACTATTCTAGGATTCCCTTTTATTAATTGGGTGAGTCCAATGTTGAATGTCATTTTCTATACCCTACCATTTAGTCTCTTCTCTCTTTTCTCTTCCCTTAAAAGAAACAATGGGAGAAAGTAATGGTTAATTTTTTTAAAAAGCCACTGCTTTGATTAATAATCAAAAGCTTTATTTTTCTCGGGGGGGTAAGTGCAGGCTACCTTTCTCACATAAAGTCTAAATATTGGCCCTTTCGTGAGGAGAGAATATCACCACTCCAATCTATAGGATTTGGGGAACTCTGTGTGAAGATAGAAGAACATGGGTCTGAGAGATCAGTACTGCAATGTACAAGACAAGAATAATCTCTACTTTCATGCTTCTCCAAATTTCATAGAATGGCTCAAGCCATCATCATCATCATCTTCTTCTTCTGATGAGACTTGTCAAAACGAGGCCGTTCGGGAGACCATCCAGTTTCTGCCCCCATCGAAAGATTTGGAAGTCGGAGTGGAAAAGGAGGTGTTTGGATCAGTGAAAGAAGAGAAGGTACTGCTGGAGCAAGTTGGGGTGGCTTTGCACATTGGGTTGCCTACTAATTACACAGAAGAAGACAGTGATATGAAGAAGAAGGTTACTGATGTTAAAGAAGAAGACGAAGAACAAGAAGAAGGCATGAGGATGAGGATGATGAAGAGAAGCTTCCATGGATCTTTCAACCAAGAGAGAAGGTTCTGGATACCAACTCCTGCACAGATCCTAATTGGGCCGATGCAGTTTGCTTGCTCCATATGCAGTAAGACCTTCAATAGGTATAACAACATGCAGGTAAGCTTCATTCCTTCTCAACTTTTCTCGTCAAGGGGAAAAATAGTTTTCATCTTAAATTCGTGTTTTTGGTTGACAACGAAAAACAGAATGTCGTTTAAAAAAAGAAATAAATGGAAACGATTCAGAAGCAAGCGTCTAATTATATATTAACGGCTAGCTAGCTGCTCTTATTTCTTTTGAAACGAAGATCATCCATATGCTTTCCTTATGCATAAACCATCAAATTAAATAGTTTGCACTTCAGTAGATCTATGGTATTTTCTTTTTCCTCCCTTCCTTTTTAAGGAGAGAAAGACCGAATTTTTTACCCTTTATAGTGAAAAATCCCTAATCAAAAATCACGTCTCTAGCTTCATGAGGTCTAAATAAAGTATTGATCCTTTTATATGGTATAGGAAAAAAGCTGTCTTCTGTAAAGAGGGTCGATAGATAGATATATCTACCTATAGAGGATGGAGAATTTAGATCACACACGTGTGCAATAAGATAGTTACACTTTAATTATAATCCTACTAGATACATACTTATTTAGATTATTTAATTTGATAGTAATGGTTCTGTAGAACTGGGATGAGTTATGAGGGTAGAAGTTTAGGATTAATCAAACTGTAGCAAAAAAAAGAGAAGTCCGGCGCATTGAATTGAAAAATCTTAGAGAAAACGATTTCTGGGTATATAATTATTGATCTCTTCCTAATGTAGCATTTCAGTTTTCTTCATTACCATGTATATCGCTAATGCAGGTGCATGCATGACAAATATATATAACTGGTTCTGTGTGCGTATAAACAATATCAAATTTAATTGTATAAATAACCATGCATATATATGCTTCGACCCCAGCCAAAATACTACGCATAAGCTAAGCCTTAAGTATATAGTCATGATGTTTTACATTATATATGAATATGATAATAAATCTCACGCGCATCATGATCAAAGAAAATCATTGAACTTCAATGAAGCATGGCTGCTTGATAAGCCTCCTATCTTTTGCTTCTCGCTTTAAGAAGTTTGATCGAGCGAGATCGATCGTGGCCTACATATATACCACCGCTCTTTTACTTTCTTTCTTTTAGCATAAAAGGTCCTTTTGTTCCATACAACATGTCAGAGAAAATTTACTCATCACATTTTCCCGTTTCTTCCTTTCCCGAGATTGCCCTTTTGGGGCAGAGCAGGTCTCGATCAGAAGGGGTAGCACAGGAAATGCTAAATAAAGGGTGACAGAAAATATAATCAAATAGCAAAGTTCTCGGAGCCACATGGACAAAGTTTAGGAAAATGTTCAAAACCTTTGCATCCGCAGAATTTTTCAAACTTATGCAGTTAGAGGGATAGAGAATTCAGCACGATTAGCTAGGGCTATAGCCGTAGCTTTTTGACGAGTGTTTGACTAGTTAGACTAACCTATCACTGCACACTGATAAGAATCCGAAAAGGTTTTAAATAAAGTTAACTATAAAAGAGAGATTAATTGAGATAATTATCAAAACATTTTTCAGTAAAACTCCCATTTATTTAACATAACTAGATCTGATAATATTTTGGAAAGCAACATGAATACTGTGCCGGTCCATTTTTTATTATTAGTCATCCATTAGCAGGTAAAGGAAATAGGAGGCCCTGAATTCAAGCAAGACATAGACTTGGATCAGATTCATTGGAAAAGTCAAGAACCTGTCTAATCTAAGCCAGATTATTGTTTTATACTGATAAGTATTATTCAGAGATTGATGTGTACGTTTTACTATCTATCACACGTAATCCTAATGAATTTGATCCATTTTTTTGGCAGATGCATATGTGGGGACATGGGTCCGAATTTAGGAAAGGACCAGACTCGCTTAGAGGAACACAACCAGCGGCAATGCTGAGGCTACCATGTTATTGCTGTGCTCATGGCTGCAAGAACAACATCAACCACCCTAGAGCCAAGCCACTGAAGGACTTCAGAACCCTGCAGACTCACTACAAGAGAAAGCATGGCTCCAAACCCTTCATGTGCAGAAAATGTGCCAAGACTTTCGCTGTGAAAGGGGATTGGAGGACTCACGAGAAGAACTGTGGCAAGTTGTGGTATTGCACTTGTGGTTCAGATTTCAAGCACAAAAGGTCCCTTAAGGATCATATTAGGTCTTTCGGAAAGGGCCACAAACCCCATCCTTCTCTCGAAGGTTTTGAGAAGGACTCCGAAGAAGATGAAGTCATTACTCACACATAATCTAACACATAATATATAGCTGTGTGTTTGCTGTCAAATTTTACACACGTGTTGAGTTCACATTGCAGAATTTGACAGCAAACACCTAAATAACTTAAATTTACTTTGAAGTCTTTGGCCTTACTGTTATTATGAGGCTTGTTCTTACGCTTGTGCTCAGTAACAAAAAGTTCTCTAGAATGGAAGTGCTGAGGCATGACCATAGGGAGCGGTTTGCTAGGGAGCACTTGCTGGGTGATGACGAGCTATGTCTAGCTAGCTAGTAGGATATATAGAGGTTTGCTTTGTGGTTAATTATAATAAGATGGTCATTACCTCTTAAGTGATGAAGTAGATGAATTTTCTTCCCATAAGAACAGGAAGAAGAAGTAGTATTTATTAGTAACCTCTTCAATATGGGGAAAATTTATCCGCTTCATTACCAAATGGTGGTAATCACCTTTTGAGGACTTTAATTTGTTGTCATAATCTATATTATAACTTTGTTGTATATTATGGATTTGACTTGATTGCTATATGGCATTATGGTTTTGTTTCTGCACAGCTAAGCCTTTTAAAGTGACCACTAGAGATGAGTTTAGATATACATATAGCCATGATAATGATCTAGCTCAAGCACCAAATTAAAAGCATGTGAAACCAATACACGTGTGTGAATGTGTAACAAAGTTGAAAAGTTTAGTTTCAGTGTTTCCCTTCAAATTCCTTAATCTCTATATATGTATAGTCGGCGATCCACAACTCCAAAAGAAGTTTTAGTGCAGAGAAAAGCGTTTATTAAACATGATTAAGTTGACAACATGATTAGAGATCATAACAACTTGAGCCTCGTGAGGTCAGAATCTATGCGACATAAAATGAGAGTGGGTATTAAATGAATCATAAAGAGAATATAAGTGTGTGCGCGTGTGTGAACTAAATTTGGCTTTATTTATATAATACCTGCCCCCATTTGCAGAGGCAAAGTGGGACTGAGAGTCCATTCTGGAGGGCTCCAGTTCACCAAACCATCCACCAATAATATATCATCATGTAGCTAGAGAGATTGATTGCCCAATATTAAAAGAATCAAATCTAACAAGCACGATTAATTCTTTATGTCCCATGCTTATTAATTAGATGATCTACTAGATTGAAATAAAAACTCCCAAAATGGTGATTAATATCCTTAATTATTACATCCATGTTTGAAAAGAGAGAGCATGCGTAGCAATATATACAAGGGCCTGCTTTTTCTCAAAGATGACATGGTGATGCTTGCTACACGTGAGGGAGAAGAGAGAGAGAGAGAGAGGGGGGAAATTAAAGGGTTAATTTGAAAACAGGGGTGGCTTTAGGTAAGATTGACCAAAGAATACAAAAGTAGAAGGAAAAAAGGGAGAGGAGGGTGTGTTTGGTTTATGAAGATAAGGGACCTCCACCATGTTTTGTCGGGTGAAAAAAGATCACAACCACCATCTTTAATTGCACTGATTTAGCAAACTAAACTTATTATCTAACTTAACCAGCTTGCCTTTCAATATTCTAAGTCCAAAACATCTAATTATTCTTAGCCTGGTTAACTAAACCACGCTCGCCCAACTGGTTGCCTTGATAGAGACAATACTATTGCACCCAATATGAACCCTTCTTTTCTCTGTTCCAAAAAGAAAATGACAGCTTAATTACTTTGCCCCATCCATATCTAGCCTTCTTTTACTCTAAACAAAACTCCAAATCGTTGGCTATGGGTTCAATTGCTCTTGTAAATAACGTAAATACTGATTTGAGCTGCAAACAGCTCTAATAACGTATTACTTATTACTTTTGTGAAAAAAATTTGAACTATTCCCATATCTCAATATATAAAATATGGAGTTGTAATGTTTTTTTTTTTGGGGGGACCGATGATGTAGTTGTATTGTTTAAGTCACGAATAGTCCGCTTTATTTATTAAACTTGGTATCATGCATGGGACCCATATTTAGTTTTTTGGGTTAATTTATGAAATTGGTAATATCGTGCTCGTCCGATTGGCTTTAAATATTATGTCCTAGCAAAATGTCTGCATTTCTTTGTTATTATATCGTGCCATACTTATGTCCGTACTGTCATAACAACGAAGTGTAGAAAATATAAATTATTATATATACTGCATGTGAGTAAGTAATATGAGATGATGGTCAAAAAAGAATAAGTAGTATGAGAATATAAAATGTGCCTGGAGGCGTCGTAGAACTATTTTAGTGAATCAACTGAGCATGCCATGGTAGTATTTTATGAATTATCCATAGTTGGGTATGAGTTCAATTAAAGAAGGAATTTTTGCATCCATGATCTCTTTAGAATTTTTTTCCCTCCCTTTTTTGTATGTGCAAGTGTAATTACATGAATAATAGGGCTTCCAAGTTATCAAGCTATCTCTCAAGTTTTCACATATATAGTTTTAAATTACTATCTCCGATCCTTAATATAAGACCTTGTTTGACTTTTATTTTAATTCTAATTAGAAGACCCCAATTCACTTTGTCTCTCATATTTATGTATTTTTTCTCAAGGTGGTCTTTCTAATAATGATAGTTTTAGCCAATCAACTTAGTAAGTAAGAATATTTTAAGAAACACATAATATATTTATTACAAATAACTAACTTAGTTTATTTTCTTAATCTCCTCAAATTAGTCAACTAACTCTTATAATTAGGATTGGTAGTAGTATTTTAAAAATGTATAACTAATAGATACTTGAAAAATAACACAATCTTGTGACACCGGAAGCAACCTGTTATAATATATACCGAAAACTTCGCTCGTATTTGCAATCGGGGACAAGGACTCGAGGGCAGCCTGCAATTCTAGTACTGGTAATTTGTCAAGCCCAAATGGAAAGGAAGGTCCATGTAAGCAACAGTTTCTGGTATTCTTACCTTGCTGGGTCCAATACCAAAAATGGTTTTACTCTGAATCAATCTGGCATTTAGATTGGACCATCAAAAGCCGAAGAACAAACAGCTAACTTAATCTTACCCATTATTACACTACCGAGCATCTGATGGGCCAACTCACCACAAGACCACCGCCCCGTAAGTCTTCGGATGTTTAGTTACGATACTTTTGTCACCGTGGTTTTGTTTTGGCAAGAAGCAAAGCATTATTGGAAAACGACTATTGATAAGCTTGAAGTTGGAACACTCCGTAATTGGTAAATGGTAATGGTAATTAGTAGTATAAGATAATGAGTTATTTTCTGTCCAAATGTCTTGTGTTATCATTTTTCGTCGCTGTTCCCAAATTGGATTGTTCTAGTTTTAAGAAGCAAGTTGATTGGTGGCCTGGCCTGACCTGCTGGACCAGAAAGTGTTGGTACATTCAGACTCGCAGAAGCCATGTGACTGAATGAGTAGGGCAATAGCTTTAGGTAATGTCTGGCTCTTGCGGTTTTGTGATATTCCTTTGTGGGTAAGAAATTATATGCACTTTGTTTGGTCCCATACCGGCCATACCTTGGACATTCGAACACTGTTCTATTGGCATCTAATTTCTCTGCTATAATCAATTACGCCTTCAGTCTTTGGCTTAACTTTTTCATCAGCAAATTTTAGAAAAGAGAAACCCCATTATATTAGAACAGTGCTAGAGACGAGAGTGTGGTGGTGTCTGATTAGATGCACCAACACGAACTTATAGGCTTACCAATTTCTTGAGGTGAGGTTGTAAGGAATTGACATAAGCGTTTGAAAATACAACACAGCTCTGTGGCACTGCATCGGATGGTGGGGCATTGATGTTATGTTGGCACAAATCCTCTAGTTCATAGTGGCGTGAACTGTTTTTGAAGACCACCTTATTTGACTTTCGAGGATTTCTTTTCCCTTCTTTTCTGTTGGCCCCATTTGACTTTCAAGATTAGAATACAGAGCATTATTATTATTAGTAGAATACATAATAAGCGGATTCAGAGAGGGCGTGAAGTTTTGTGTTGCTGGGTTTTGCTTAGGTGTACGAATATCACATTTTTGCAGTTTCTGATACAGTTTACTGCTTAACTCCTGAACCATCAAAGGCCACATTGAAACACTGCGGATGACCATTATGTATCAAGGATAGATGGGGAGGCAGGAGATAATGTTGATTCCTCAAAATGCCAGAGACCTTAAGCAGATCACATGGTTCGATTTGAGTATGTAGACAAGGCTTTTGATGATTGTTGTAAGGCTGTCAAGAACATGAGCATTCACGTGCCGTCATGAAGCTACAATACAAAATCAACCACATGAGAGTAGCAGATCAACATAATCTTGAGTGTAGAAAACAAAGATAGGTACTTAACCATTCAAGGATCGAACTTGTATTGATTTAACCGCAATTTACACTTAAAACTGTTGCTTCAGCCTGGTTTTGGCAGTAGTAGTTCTGAAATGAGGGAAAAGACCAAAAAAAAAAAAAAATCTTCAATCAGTATTCCTTTCCACACTATCTGCCCATTTCACAAAAATCATGAGAAAATTTCAGATGCTTCATGATAGACAAATTTGCTGACTGCTTCACCACAAAATCAGAACAAGGGGTCATTGATACAGCACCACGGGTGGAATCTTGAATTTGTCCGAGAGGAAAGGTATTGCCCTGCGTCCATCGACCAGGTCCCCGTAAAAAGCATATTCTGCTTCATAGTCATGCAAATGAAGCTCAGCCTTCTGATTCGTATGATAATGATGCCTGGCTGAGGCGGACTTGCCGAACCCAAATATACTGACTCTATCACAGATTCCTAAAGCTAACATAACAGCTTGCATACCAGAAGAGTAATGAAATAGAGCACCATCATGTGCAGAGCTCCATTCTTCCAAAGCCTTCCCTGTCTCCTCCACAAACCTCTCCAAGGAGTAGTACTTCACAATCCGAGCACATAACATATCGAACCGTGGATCGGTGACCAGCAATGGTGCTTTGTGAGAGGAATTGCAAACGGTGTAATCCAAGAAATGAGCTGGTTGGCAAATGTACATAACTATTGGCACATTAGCTCCATATGGGTGACAGAAGCATTCTGTCCTCCTTGCACAGAGATGCAAAATGTTGCTATTTACGAATGAAATGCTTGTTTTAGACCCCACTTTCTTCTCAAACTTCTCAACCCTTGCATTGTTCAATCGGATAACTGCTTCATGGCTATCAATGAGCTTCCCATAGTCGTTGTTCAGCAAAATTCCACTGTTGCCAACCACCGCACAAGACGAGTATCGCCGCTCGGAACCCGCCAATCCATTGTGCCTATCGATAGGAAGCTTAACTAGCCGCGTCAAATCGGACATAATACTAGGCTGAAACCTCTTTTTCCTGGTCCAATCGTTCAAAACCTTTCGGAAATCGAGCCAATACCTATAAAACAGCGGCGAGCGTATCGTTACCGCTAGCCTCCTCGGGTCCTTATCAGTGATCTCATGGTGAATGAATCTACGCCAAGAGACAAACGTCCGGTGCCGGGCTTGACTTCCAAAGTCTCCATCCAGAAGCTGCTGGATTTCTTGCTTCGACTTCTCTTCTCCGATATCGATGGCGGCGTGTTTCAGCAGCGTCGCGTTCAACAATGGTGCTGCCGGAACTTGAACCCATACTCTGCTCTCCAACTCAATGGACAATAAGCCTCTCCGAACAAAGGTTCTGCAGCTGAGAGTGGCAACGAAGACGACGACAATTAGAACTCCAAACAGCGGGCGAATCGAACGCTTCATTGGAAAGGCGTGCTTAACGGAACAACTTGTCGGTGTTGCTAAATGTGGCCAGAAACTAGAGATCTTGAAGCTAAGAGCGCCAGATCCATCTTTGTCTCCGAGAACATTAAGCAAGAGAAATGAAATAAGCGAATGAGGCCACAAGAGATCCCTGAGAGGTATTAGCGAGGGCAAATATACTATGAATCACGAACGTAACATAGGGTTGACTCCGGGTTCTGGACAAAAACAGGGCTTCTAATCATTGCGGCCTTTTGAAAAGAAATGCCAATACTAGATGAAAAACAAATTTCCAAGTAGGAATCACAAGTAAAATCAACAATAAGCTACAGTAAGGGCCTTCACTACGCAGATGGACCATAGAGAAGCTACGAAGAAGCAAGCAAAAAGACAAATCGAATGGAGCAGCAGCGGAAGCAGTAAAATCTGGAGGGGATGTAGAAGAAACGGAATAAAGAAGAAGGAATATTAAGTCGCAACTTCAAAACCCACATGGGAGCTAAAGCGAAATGAGAAAGACCGGTTGATAAAGCTGCAAGCCGGAGAAGATTCGAGGGCACAGAAGAGGGGAAAACGAACCCTAACAAAGAAAGAAGAGAAGCGTGCGTTGAAGGGCGTTGCGAAGACGGTGAGCAGCTGCGGGCTTGAGGCCATTAAAAAAGCATGCTTTTTCTGATTGCAAGCGAGGGAGAGAGATGGGGCCCACTCTGGGGGGTTTTGTGGGGTATAGTGAATACTTTACCGATGCGATGATGTAGACCGAGGGATTCAGATTTTAGATCCGATCCAATCCAAGCTTTGTTCCCGTTAAATTTATTAGGTTAGACGATTAATTATTACTATCACCTCTGATTTCCACTTTTTTGGTTTCAAATACATGTTGGGCAGATTTTCCATGGGTTTCAAGTTTTAACTTCTACTAATTTTATTAAAAACGATGTTCAGTAAACTGATTGAAATGGAAACAAATATAAGGACATGTTAAAAATGTTTTTATGCTTTTACATAGAAGTATTAAAAAACAAAAATATCAATCCCAGTATTAATATATATAAATTAATGGAAATTTTTTTCGCCAATCTATTGTAAATTCTCATCGTTTATAAATAATGCGACTTACACGTATATGTGACATGCAAGCCTAGTTTTGTTGGATATGGATGAGAAGATTATTAATAATATTATTTGCATAAACTTATGTCATTTTCATGAATTTCAACCCTACAATTATTTTCTATTTCTTTTTAATAAAAATACAGAATTTTTATGGTTGGTTTTACATTAAGCTGTACAGTTTTTATTTTTAAATAGATAACAAACACATTTAATGGTGTGCTCTCCCGACATAGTCTTCAGGGGGACAAAATATGGGAGCGTTTCTACTCATTCTATCCTTTATTAGCACTGTGTGAAAGTGGAAATAGAAAGTTGGGAACATAAAATCAATTGAACTGCCCAAATAGTGTCAATAAAGAGGTGTTTGGATGTGTCTTGAAGAGGTTTTTAAAAATATGTTTTTATAAATCGAGACAAATTTTTTTATATCTTTATTTTTTATACCGTAAAATTACTTATAAAACTATGATTTAGTTTTCATATAAATTTTTTCTGAAATCTTTCGGTAATTTGGTTTTATATATCAATGCACTGTATTGTTCAGGCAAACAACTCCCCAAAAAATTGATGAAATTAATAGCAACGTCACATGATTGAAAATGAACGCAAATTTCTTTTTTCGCCCGCTTTATTCTTCCCCGCTTGACGCGCTTCTTGGCAATCACCCTCGCATTGTTTATTTTCTCTCTCTTTTTTTGGCCTATTGTGAATCAAAATCAAACTGATTTCTTGTGTACTATTAACTTTATTTGTTTCTTTTTCAGTTAATAGTAGACATCGCGGAATATTAGGAATTGACAAAAGTCGTCTGGTTATAGCTTCCATGAAATTTAACTTCTTTTTTTTGGCCTGATATGAAATTTGACTTCTTGGAACAAGTTTCTAAGCATTGTCCTCACTTTGACATTTTCCCTTTCCTAATAATTTGAAAATGACCTAGAGATACTAATGGACCTGGCACCTGGATCTCATGAAAAATGTCAGTTCCTCATGTTGTGATGAGTCAGTATTTAAGTTATCACTAAGAGATATGTCCATATTTAATATCTGATAATATTTTAAATATGATTGTTTCTAATAGAAAGATATCCATACGTAAAAAAAATGAAAGTGATGGATATTTTTTAAATAAAATTATATTCCTTTAAATGCAAGAACTAATAATAATTATTATTTTAATTCTAAATATGATATCCCTCCCAGAGTGATGGTTGCATTAGTGTTTGTAAATTTAGATTTCCTCTCTATTTTTTTCAAATCTACAGTCTCCTTAATTTATCTTCATTTTATTAACTTTACAGCGTTGATTTTATGGAGATATTTAAAATCTCAAATTTACATCTGTCCATTTCTTCTATCAATAACAAAGACTAATTTTGACTAATTTCCGAATCTCAACTGATCCCCTTTAATTTACGGAGACCAGAGAGTAACGCTCTATAATTAGATGTACTTTACATGTAAGGGTTGTGGATCGCACTCCTAATTTCTTGCTCAAGGAACAAGAGCCTCTATCATTTACACGCAGCTTTCTTTTTCATTTGAATTAGCATTAGGTGATTTTGTTTTTTTCTTTTCTCTTTAATTATAATATTCATTCTTTTATTAAAATACACATTTATTAAAAAGATTTAAAAAAAACATAAAAGGCCGGGCCATTATATTTGAAAATTTAGAATTAAGTCCAAATTAACCAAACAACTCGGCCGGTCCGAATAGACAACAGAACAAGAAATAAGACTAAAAAAACTATTATATGAGAAACTAAAAACCAATTATAATATTCATTTAAAGCTTCCTTCTTCTTCTTTTTTTTTTTTTCTGGTAAAAGAAAGTTCATGTGCATTGGGTTCCTGAGACTCACTAGTTTCAGAACATACTTTTAGGATCAAATAACGCTTACAGAGATATTTACAGATTGCCCACCAATAAAGTCCCAACATCGACAGCAGGATTTGAACTCACGTCTTTATAAGTTATGAGTCAAAGCAATTCTTAGTAAGAATAATAGATTTGATGCATGAAGAATTACTAACACTAAATATCTCATCAAACCTGGAGAAGAATATGACTTGAGAAGCTATTTTAAGGATCCTGTCAGCTAAAAGACTAACAGATTAGATTTTGTTTGGATTGTGATTGGCATGGCCAAAACATTCGTTTTTAATCTGAATTAATTCTCAGTTACTCCGACTGGTTTCTCCACCCACCAATATAACCAAACTCCTCTTTTTGTTTTTCGATTAGCCCTCCTCTTTTTAGAGAGAGAGAGAGAGATTCAATGCAACTGCTACTATTAATCCGCTCAACTTGACCATTGATGATTTTAACAAGTTTTTTTTTTTTTTTTGCCAACGATTTTAACAAGCATGAATTGACAATGTCAACATGTGTAATCAATCCTTTATTTTTAACTATTACAACCCTGACCTTGGTCAAAGATGGTTAACAAACATTATTCGGGGTAACGACAATGACAGTGCCCCTGCACCGCTTTAACAGAAATTGAGTGCATGAACTAAACTTATATATTAAAAAATAAAACCAAACTGGTCAATATTAGACTTAAAACACAAAACAATATTATCTCCCAGTTTAATTAATTTAAGAAAAAATGATATAAAAATGACACTTGAACTTAAAAATGTTAAAATAGTCACTTGAATTTGCAAAATTCAATTTAGTTACAAATAACCAATTTGACATCTATAAATTTGCTGAAATAACCATATTATCCTTTATTTTATTTATTTTTTTTTTAAAAACCAAATGCCTTCACTGGTCGCCGGCACCGGAGCTCCAGCGGCGGGCAATAATTTTTTAAAATTTTTTTACAACTTTAGTAAAACGGTTAACAAGTTTTGTAATGCTATTAATAAGTTCAGTATATCAGTTAACAACAAATTTTCTAGAAAATTTAAAAAGTAGCATTTTTCCAACTCTAGTAATATCGTTAACAAGTTCCGTAACTCTATTAACAATGCGGGTATAGCATTTAACAACAAGTTTTCTGAAAAATTAAAAAAATAACATTTTTACAATTTTAGTAACAACTTTTTTTCAATTTTTTTTTCTGATTTTAATAAAATGATTAACAAGTTTTATAACGTTATTAACAAGTTTTGTATAACAGTTAATAATAGGTTTTCCAAAAAATTCAAAAATTAGTATTTTCACAACTTTGCTAATACCGTTTAACTCTATTAATAACTTCGGTATAGCATTTAACAACAGGTTTTCTGAAAAATTAAAAAAAAAAGACATTTTTACAACTTTAGTAACTACTTTTTTTGAAAATTTTTCCAACTTTAGTAAAATAGTTAACAAATTTTGAAACACTATTAATAAGTTCAATATAGCAGTTAATAAGGCTGTTCACAGGACGGATCGGGACCGGGACAGGCCCATCCTGGTTCCGTCCGGTGAACAGTAACTGGACAGATTTTCTGTCCCGTGTCCCGGCCCGTCCCGGGGTTGTCCTTTTCTCGGTTGGGATGGGACGAATTTGGGACGGGACGGATCCGGGACGTCCCGAAAATATTTTTTTAATTTTTTTAATTTTAAAAAAAAATCTGATTTTTTTAATTATATTTTTTTGAGCTTAAATTTTTAAAAAACATTTTTTATTTTCTTTTTTATTTGTTTGGGCACCCTTAAACAAAATCTCAAAATATTACATATAATAGTCATTAAAAACTCTAAACAAAAGCTTTTAACACAATAAAAACTTGCTAAAAATTCTAATCATCAATAATCTCAAATCATTAACAAATATAAAAACTCTAAATAAATATATCCATAGTTCTATACAATAGTCTCAAATCTTAAAAAAATATGAAAAAAATGATATTATATAAATAGGATAAAAATAAAAAATAAAAGGAACCGGGACGGGACGACCCTGTCTCGTGTCCCGTCCCGTCCCGGTCCCTTTTTTGTCCCGTCCCGGTTTGTCCCATCTCGGAAAATTTCGGGACGGATCCGTCCCGTCCCAATAAGACCGGGACTGGAACGGGCTGACCGGGACGGGTCGGCCTTGAACACCCCTAGCAGTTAACAACAGATTTTTCAGAAAATTTAAAAAGTAGTATTTTTACAACTTTAGTAATGCTGTTAATAAGTTTTGTACCTTTATTAACAACAGGTTTTCTGAAAAATTCAAAAAGTGGTATTTTTACAACATTAGTAACGCGGTTAACAAGTCATATAACGATATTAACAACTCTCATGACCATAATGGTTGCCTAATAAGTGAAATTTTTTTACTGTACAACGTTCATAAGGAGCTAAGATCAACCTTCACGAGAGTTATTACATGACTTGTTAATCATGTTATTAAAATTGTAAAAATGCTACTTTTTAAATTTTTCAGAAAACCTGTTGTTAAATGCTATACCAAAGTTGTTAATAGAGTCACGGAACTTGTTAATGGCATTACTGAAGTTGTAAAAATACTACTTTTTGAATTTTCTGAAAAACTTGTTGTTAACTGTTATATTAAATTTATTAATAGCGTTGCAAAAATTGTTAACTGTTTTACTGAAATTGTAAAAATTTTGAAAAAAATTGTTGTCGGCCACTAGAGTTTCGGTGACTGATTGGTGGCGACTGCTGGAGTTTCGGTGACTGCAGCCACCTAAGCTCCGCTGCCGCTGATGGCACCGGAGCTCCAACGACCGCCGGCTAGCGGGAACATTTGGTTTTTTAAAAAACAATAAATAAAATAAAGGGCAATATAGTTATTTCAGTAAATTTACAAATATCAAATTGGTCACTTATGACTAAATTGGGATTTTGCAAATTCAAGTGACTATTTTGATATTTTTAAGTTCAAATATCATTTTTGTGTCATTTTCTCTTAATTTAAATATATTAAAAAATTAATTAATTTAATTATTTATAATAAATATGAGTTAATTTTTTTAATATTTTTTTTACTCATTGCTACTTTTAATAAAAAGATTATATAATATATGCTATATAAGCAAGTAGTTTTTTTGGTTTTTTAAATTAATCAAATAAGTGTTATAAAATAATATTATTTTATTTATTCCGCCGGAAGAAATCCGCATATTTTGGTGTTTTAAAATATTTTATTTCATACCATTTTCTTGATCTTTAATATGAGACTTAATTATTAATTAATTTTGATTCTAAATATAAAATTTATGATATTTATCAATTTTTTAAAATTATCTTTATGAATACTCTCTCAATCATAATTCCTAATCAAGTAGAAAAAAAATAAAATATTAAAAAATAATTAATATTTTAAAAAATATCATATTTTTTATAATTAATTAATTTATAAAACTGCCTCAATGACGCACGCACCTATAATGAATAAAACACAGAAAAGGATTAGACAAATGTATTTAATTAAACATTTATTAATTCATTGAAATTTACATCATGGCTCAACGGCGTGAGAATAATGCTCCCCAACCCACCAATCCACCAACAACCAACCGCCAACAGCGTCCGAACCACGACCCTCCAACCACTAATGACCCGATGACCGACCCAAATTTCAGATCCGAATACCTTTCCCAAATGAAATATAATCACACACGCGACATGACCATAACACCCTTCCTCCTCAGATCTTTTCTAGCTTATCGGCCTTCACTATTGGATTGGCCTTCGCGATCTGCTCCCGGCCCATCGTCTTGAAGTCGAACTCGCACCCGTGCTGTTCCGGGTATCGGTGGGCCCCGCAGTACGTCGACCCGCACCGGCACTTGAACCCGGTGAGCCCCACGCGCCGCCTGCACGTCATGCACCTATTCGGCTGAGCCGGTGAAGCGCTCTTCGGCTCCTCCGCCTGAGGCGCCGGATCAGCCGCAACAGCAACCGAAGACGAAAGATCGGCAACAGGTTCCAGCGACGACGAAGATGACTCCGATTTCTCCGCCGTGGACGGCTGAGGGACTATGGACTGATTGAGAACCAGCTTGGCCGAAGAGGATTGTTGCTCCTTGAGCTGCAAATCTCTGTAGCATTTGGAACAGAGATTCTGCGTCGCAGGACTACCGAAGAAGCCGCAGTTGTTGGCACAAAGGCGCGGAGCTTGGCATCTATGTTCTTCCGCCATTTTCTTTGATCGATGTCGGTCCAATCCCGCCGAGAGATCTAGCGATCTGCAAAAGGAAACGCCAAACAACGTCAATCAGTATATTTTCAAACCTAAACAAGCAGGAAGAATTTTCCAAAGACGAAGGAACATCACGTAGAGGAGGAGGACGATTACCAGCGAAAGGAGGAAAAAAACGCGGAAGAGAGAAGAAGGGTTTGGGGGATTAGAAGGGGGGACAGAGAGGGGAATCTGCAGAAGAGAAATAAAGAAGGAAAAGAAAAGCACCTCAAGAGGAACGCAAAGGGAGGATGAGAGATGTGGAGCTAGGGTATAGGATTGCTGGAGGGTGAAGAAAATTCCAGAGGCCTTCTTCTTTTCTATATGTCTGCGACTCTCTCTTTTCTTTTTCTTTTTTTTTTTTGGGCGTGAATTGCTTTTTTATTTATTAATAAGGGGAGAAACGGCGTGACCACGTCTATTGCTAATTTGTTACGCGCCCCCCAAACGGTTTTTAATATGAGTGCCTCTTTTTTGGTTTATTAAGGCCGTGATTACCTTCTGGAAGCCGTTGTTGCCACGCCACGCCCCCCTTCTCTCTCTCTCTCTCTCTCATTTATTCATCCTTTGTTCTTGCTATTTATTTATTTAATTTAATTCCTCGTTTGGCCAAAGCAAAAATGACATCTATTAGTTCCTGTCAATTCACTGAACCTAGACATCATTACCTCATGATGTTCGTTTTATCAGAATCTTTTTTTACTAGCATAAAAAAGAGAAAAGAAAAACAGAATTTCACAATATAAACAAGGAGGGTATATATGGATTTTCTTATTTCTTCTCTCTCCTAGATCCTAGAAAAACATAATTTCAAAATATAAACAAGGCGGGTAAAATCCTTATTTGGATATTTTTGGTCAACTAAAATCTATATATGGATTTCCTTCTTTCTTCTCTCTCCTAGATCCTCTTAATCTTTTCCTCTTTTCTTAATTTTTTTTAATCCCGAAAAATTCACAAAGCAGAGTGTAAATATATTATATTAATTAATGGATTGATGATTTATCAACAAAATAAAGAAAAAGCAACAAAGCACTTCATTCTAATTTTAAATATTATTCTTATTTTTGTTAACTCTAATTCTAATATACAGAAAATCAATGTATATTTTTAACAAATAACTAATTTAACTAATTTATAAATTTATCTAAATTTATAAAGTATATCATATATTAAGGAATAGTAATTAAAAATAAAAAATTATTGCAAACAATTTTTTCCCATCGGACTAATTAGAAATTTTGTTCTGGTTTGATTGTCAAAATATTCTTCCAAGCATAATATCATCCGGAATGCAACTATATCTAGGAAAAAAAAAGCATATAATAAGTAAAATCCTTATTTGTGGCTGCACAAATGGTAAACAAATGATCTGATTGGGATACTTTCACTTTTTTTTTAATATATTGTTTACGATAAAATTAGATTTTCTTTCGGCTCTTAAACAGTTGAACGTACTCTTCATTAATAACCGAATTGTCGTCTCTGTTATCCCAGGATTTGCCTAGCTTTGTATTGTTAAACTCTGCTTGCTTTTGTATTCCCAAAGGAAGAAGAAGAAGTAATAACTGGATTGGGCCTCAATTCACCATCTCGAGACATTTCATCTGGGCTGGGCCGTAAACTCCATTCCCGGAGGTGGTGGCCCTCCCATTTTCAGAGAATCTCAAACCCAATTTCATTTACTGAGATATTTTTGGGTCAACACATAATTCAACTTGTCACACCCAAAAAAAAAAAAAAATCAACATGCTATTTTTAAACTCAAATTTCTTACCTACAAAGCTCCGTGGCGTTTTGTCGGCGCATTAAATTATGAGTAAACTATACTTCTGAAGTACTGAGTGGTATTTACTTTGGTCACCATTCCTTGCTCGTTTGGTCATGTGCCTCAATATTTTGGGTTAACAGTCCCCTTTCCTCTTCAATTCCAATCCTATAACAGGCCTAGTCAGGAAAATAGCAGTCGAATAATGTATTGTTGCTTTCACGAACCAATGTCCGTATCAGGAATCAAACAATTAAAGAATCTTCATCTACCCAGCATCTTAACATTGATTGTGCTTCTAGCTGTGGTTTATATCATGTTTTCAAGACTACGTAAATGTGAGCACCCTAGTGTTTGTTTGTAAGCATAAGCTCTCTGTTTCCTTAGAAAATTCTTCCATATGGCACAAACCCCATTAATTAAAAGAATTACTATATGGTTGGTCTCTTCTTCTTTCTTTATTTCCATGTTACTTATTCAAAGAATTTGATAGGTGCCAAGTCATAATCAGAAACAAAACTAGCCGGCTCCAGAATTTAATATCATGAGACGTGCATTACATAATACAGGTTTTGACCTGTTATAAAATGGGCCAATCACCCACTACTCTCTACTGCATCCAAATATTAGCTTCATCTGTCACCAGCTTCTTCACCCTCCTGCCATATCATGAGGTTTCTTCAAGTCTTCAAGATCACTCTTTTCCTGTTTATTGGATTACTTTAGTTCATGGGGGCACTCCTAAGGTAAGAATTGACCAAAGCCTTGTAATAATTGTCAGGTACATTCTGTTATTTGCCCGCACCATGGGCTTTGTGTACAAGGAAACTAATGTAACTTGGTGACATGTTTGGACGCAGCAAAAGCATTATATAGTATACATGGGAGAGCATTCACATCCCAATTCAGAATCTGTAGTCAGAGCAAACCATGAAATACTTGCTTCAGTCTCTGGAAGGTAAGACCCTTCAATTTAGCATATGTTCCTTATGCTAGTGGTGTTCTTTCTTAGGTTGTCTAAGAAGTGTTTGAATTTTTCTCAGTTTCGACGAAGCAAAAGCAGCGGCAGTTCATCACTACGCTAAAAGCTTCCGAGGTTTCTCAGCAATGCTCACACCAGAGCAAGCTGATGAACTTGCTGGTAAAGTACTTTACTCTCATGTCTTGATCTCTTTCCCATTTCTTCATGTAGGACAGGGAAGCACTTCAAATTAGATGACTAATTAACTCGTTATTCCCACACACACGTGCATGCATAATCTGTATCACACCCCTAAGACATTTATCTCCTCTGATGTTCTGATTTATGTTTCAGAACATGATTCAGTCGTGTCAGTGTTTGAGAGCAAAATGAATCGGCTCCATACTACACGTTCATGGCATTTTCTTGGATCAGACTCTGTATACAATGGCGATTATCTGCCCATGGACCCCAGATCCAATGTCATTGTTGGTGTTGTTGACTCAGGTATATGATGAAATCTATAACGACAATACAACTCACTGTAATGCACAGAAAAACGTCGAAAAATAATTATACAGACTTGGTCTATGAAAATTTGGCAAACTAAATCAATTATAAGGAGACATAAAGGCAGTTAAATATTCTTTTAGTTGAATTCACTTTTGACACTTTTATGCGCATCTCCATAATTGATATGGTTTATCCGTTTTTTCAGATAAGGTCTACTCACAGAATCTCACTTGCCAGATGCGACCATTTTTTTTTTTTTCCTATTTATAGTATTTCATTTTGATTAAATTGATTTAACTTTGATCTTTAGGTATATGGCCAGAATCGAAAAGCTTCAATGATGACGGATTAGGTCCTGTGCCCGAAAAATTCAAGGGAGAGTGTGTCAATGGAGAAAACTTTACACAAGCCCATTGTAACAAGTAAAGATACTCTTTCATGTTTCGCGACCATAGTCTAGAACTAAAACAACACACGAACTTGTCCCTTACTAATACAACAACATATTTCTCATCACTCAAACCTTAGTCCATACCGACCATGTCATCTGGAATTTGGATTTTACAGGAAAATAATTGGTGCTCGGTTCTATTCAAAAGGTTTCACAACAGATTTTGGTCCTCTGCAATCTCAGAACCGAACTTTTTTTATGTCAGCTCGAGACAGTGATGGACATGGAACCCACACTGCGTCCACAATTGCAGGGTCCATTGTCACTGACGCTAGCTTATTTGGTATGGCTAAGGGAACTGCTAGAGGAGGAGCTCCAGGAGCCAGACTTGCCATTTACAAGGCTTGTTGGTTTGATATGTGCAGTGATGCTGATATTCTTTCTGCCATGGATGATGCTATTCATGATGATGTTGATATTTTATCACTTTCCCTCGGACCAAAACCACCACAGCCAATTTATTTCGAAGATGCAGTGTCCATAGGAACATTCCATGCATTTCAAAGGAATATTCTCATTTCTGCTTCTGTAGGGAACTCGGTTTTTCCACGCACAGCATGCAATGTTGCTCCTTGGATCCTCACTGTTGCTGCTGGCTCAATAGACAGAGAATTCCATTCAAACATCTTACTTGGCAACTCAAAAGTTTTAAAGGTGAGGTCAAAAGCACACATCATTTCTATATAGTTCATGACTAATATGGCAACTAAAGTACGCTAAGTTGTTGTCAGGGTTTCTCTTTGAATCCAATTAAAATGGAGCAGTCGTATAGCTTGATAGACGGGAAGAATGCTGCAGCACCTGCTATTCCATCAAGAAATGCAAGGTATCTCCACTATTAGTCCGAAATAGACAAAATTCATTTGTAGACTTTATAACATTATCCTAATAATGTTCCATAGTATTAAACATCAAACTCTGTCTTTTATCTCTCAAAGACAAATGGATTCTATGGTCTTAAACTCCACAAAAGTTTTTTTCGTGGCATGGTAAAAGCTGAATTTGACCATGAAGCTTTTTTGGGATGATGATTGAACCCAAGAAATGTGATCTACGATTAATTCTGTTTTACCATTTTTTTTATAGCTTCTGCCACCACAACACTCTAGATCCTGCCCTAATCGAGGGAAAAATTGTGGTCTGTACAATTGAGACTTTTGCTGATGATCGACGAGCAAAGGCTATCACTATAAAGCAAGGTGGGGGTGTTGGAATGATATTAATTGATCACAATGCTAAAGATCTTGGCTTTCAGTTTGTCATCCCAAGCACCATTATTGGTCAGGGAGCTGTAGAAGAGCTACAGGCATACATGAAGACAGACAGGTGAGTTTTAACTTCACCTTTTTTTTCCCCTTATTATAAAAAAAGGAAATAAAAAGAAGATATGCATAACGGAATCATGTTACTCGTCATCAAAAGAGTGACTGAAAAACTTGCTGCTCATGTTTTTATTGTATCAGGAACCCAAGTGCTAGGATCTTGTCGACAATAACTGTTGCGGATGTTAAACCTGCACCAGAAGTGGCGGCTTTTTCTTCTGTGGGACCAAATATAATTACGCCAGATATTATTAAGGCAAGCCTACTCAACCTTCTAAATAAAATTGCATTGGCATACAAGAACACAAGTTTTGCTGCTGACATGACCAAAAGCATCACAAA